ATTTAATTATAAAAATGGCTCTTCTTCCCACTGGGGTGTATTTGTTTATGCTAGTACTATAGCCTCTGAGAGAAATGCCTAGTGGAATTTTTTGATTAGACATAACCTTATGTGGGGAAGTTCCTGGTTTATTTGAGGGGATTTCAATGATATCCTCTCCAACCAGGAGAAGAGAGGGGGAGTTGTGAGAGCTGATAGCAGCTTCCTGGGTTTTAGAACCCTTATCAGGGGGTTGGGGGTGGTTGAGAGCAAAGTTAGTGGGCATCCCTACACCTGGTCTAACAATAGACAAGGGCAGGATTTTATTGAAGTGAAACTTGATTGATTCCTCTTCTCACCTGGGTGGTTGGGGTTGTTCCCCAACTCTGGGGTGAAGCACATTTCTTGTTGTAGCTTCTGATCATTGCATGCTCTTGCTTGAGGTTGACCCTTTAAGTAGGAAGAGGTAGAGTAGATTCTTTTTTGATGGTCGGTGGGTTAAGCTATATGGGTTTAAGGAGGTTGTTGATAAGGCTTAGAATGAGCCTGTGACTGGACATAAAATGTTCAGTGTTCAGAATAGGCTTAAGAGTTCTAAGGATAGTGAGCAGACTAATACCCATATTGATAAAAAGTTGAAAAAATCTAAGCATTCTCTTTCTGTTTTGGTGGAGAAAACCAGTCATAACTGGTCCCAAGGTGACCAATGAAGGTCATGGTGTGGAATTGTAGAGGTTTGGGGGGACCCTCTACAATTTCCCAAATCAAAGAGGCTTTAAAAGCTCACGTCCCTGATTTTTTATTTTTATCTGAAACAAAAAAAAAAAAAATTGTGAAAACTTTTTGCAAAAATTGTAAGTTTGATAACAGATGGACTGTGGTGAACCCTGTAGGATCTAAGGGAGGCATTTTCTTATGTTGGTCTGATAATATTTGTGTGGAATCTCTAGTTTGTTGTGAATTTTGCATTGAGGTTAAATTTAATTATAAAAATGGCTTTTCTTCCCACTGGGGTGTGTTTGTTTATGCTAGTACTATAGCCTCTGAGAGAAATGCCCAGTGGAATTTTTTGATTACACATAGCCTTATGTGGGGAAGTTCCTGGTTTATTGGAGGGGATTTCAATGATATCCTCTCCAACCAGGAGAAGAGAGGGGGAGTTGTGAGAGCTGGTAGCAGCTTCCTGGGTTTTAGAACCCTTATCAGGGGGTTGGGGGTGGTTGAGAGCAAAGTTAGTGGGCATCCCTACACCTGGTCTAACAATAGACAAGGGCAGGATTTTATTGAAGTGAAACTTGATTGATTCCTCTTCTCACCTGGGTGGTTGTGGTTGTTCCCCAACTCTGGGGTGAAGCACATTTGTTGTGTAGCTTCTGATCATTGCATGCTCTTGCTTGAGGTTGACCCTTTAAGTAGGAAGAGGCAGAGTAGATTCTTTTTTGATGGTAGGTGGGTTAAGCTATATGGGTTTAGGGAGGTTGTTGATAAGGCCTGGAATGAGCCTATGACTGGACATAAAATGTTCAGTGTTCAGAATAGGCTTAAGAGTGTTAGGAAAGCTCTTCTGGGATGGAAGAACTCTTTTAATGGAGAGTCAAGGGGCTGACAGGGACTGGGACTGCTGGAGATTGTGTAGAACTAAGTTACATCTAGCCTATAGGGAGGAGGAAGCTTATTGGAAACAAAAAGCTAGACTCTCCTGGCTTAAAGAGGGTGATAAAAACACCAAGTTTTTCAGGCCTCTGTGAAGCAGAGTAGGAGAGTTAATTTTCTGGAGAATTTGGGTAGAATTGATGGGTCTAGATGCCTCTCTGAGAGAGAGATTACTGTTGAGCTGGAAAATCACTTTAGTTTACTTTTTAAAACTTCTTATCCTTGGGTAGAAAGTTGTTGGTTGGAAGGCATACCCAAATCCATAGCATCTGAGATGAATGAGAGACTCACCAGGTTGGTCTCAGAAGATGAGATTTAGGATGCCTTAGAGGAGAAAGTTGTAACAGGTGTACCTGAGGCTATTTCTGTAATAGGATCGCCTTTGGTAGAATTGTTACGCGGAAGTGCTAGTGTGGGGCAATCGACCTTGACTCGTTATTATAGTTTACATACTTTTGTATTGCCGCTCCGAGTTCATTTATGTGAGGCTATTCTGGAGTTTTTTCAAAATGGGAAAATGCCTGTTGGGGTGAACCATGCCATTGTTACCCTAATTCCTAAATTGAAAAACCCTACTTTAGTCAGTGATTTTAGGCCTATTAGTTTGTGTAATGTTATATACAAACTAATTGCCAAAGTCCTTGCTAACAGGTTTAAAAGTGTGTTACACTCTTGTATTTCTGAGGCGCAATCTGCTTTTGTGCCAAAAAGGCAGATTTTGGACAATCCTATAATTGCAAATGAGTGTATTCACTTCATTAACAGTAGGAGAAACGGTAAGGACATGTTCATGGCTGTGAAGCTTGACATGGCCAAGGCCTATGATAGGGTAGAAAGAGAGTTCTTAGCTAGGGTGTGTCTTAAAATGGGTTTCTGTAATAAGTTTGTTAAGTGGGTCCTTGCATGTGTGTGTACTACTACCTTCAGCTTTAATGTTAATGGGGCCAACTTAGGATTTGTTAAACCCAGTAGAGGTCTTAGGCAGGGGGATCCTTTATCCCCCTACCTTTTTATAATTGTCACAGAAGCTTTCTCCAACCTCATAGGTCAAGCTAGAGCTCAAAATCTTTATCAAGGGATCAGAATCAGTAAGTTCTCTCCTGTCATTTCTCACCTTTTCTTTGCTGATGGTTCCTTGTTATTGTGTAAGGCTGATTATTCTCATGCTCTTCTTATTCTGCAAATTCTTCATGAATATGGATCAGCCTCTGGTCAAGTTGTGAACTGGATAATCTTCTGTTTTCTTTTCAAAAAACACCACCCCTTCTGTTATTGGTGATATTTGTTCTACCCTTCATGGGATCAAACAAGTGCAAACTACTAAATATCTTGGTCCCCCTTGGGGATTGGCATGTCTAAGAGAGATATCTTCCACTTTGTTAGAGAGGCTGTGAAAAATAGAATTTCTAATTGGAAAAATATTTATTTGAGTGAAGCAGGTAAGGAAGTCTTATTGAATTCAGTGATTGGGGCTATGCCTACATACATAATGTCATGCTTTAGACTTCCTTTTGCTATTTGTGATGAGATTTGTAAAGATTCGGCAGAGTTCTGGTGGGGTAAGAAAGAGGGGGGAAATGGGAGTAGGATTCACTGGGCTAGATGGAATAGGCTAGCCAAACCTAAGGAAGATGGGGGTTTAGGATTTAAGGACATTAGGGCATTCAATGATGCTCTAATTGTAAAACAATTATGGAGGGTAGTTACTAGGCCCAATCTTCTGATGAGTAGGGTGATGAGAGGTAGATAAATTCATAGGAGGAAATTGTGGGATATTAATCCTAGTGGGGGTGATTCTTGGCTTTGGAAGTGTTGGTTGGGGGCTAGAATTTCTTATAGGTTAGGTGCTAGGTCTAGGATTGGGGATGGTAGATCTGCTGATATTTGGGAATCCCCCTGGATACCTAACATTCCAGGGTTTATTCCCACATGCCATTTTACTGAAGATAGGGATAAGCTGAGAAAGGTGAGAGATCTTATGGAGGTGGGGGACTGTAGGTGGGACATGGAGATTATTGCTCAAACTTTTGATCCCAGAACTGCTAAAGCCATTCTGGATATTCCTCTTAATGCTCCTGGGATGAATGACCAACTTATATGGTGTGGGAACAAATAGGGGACTTTTAGTGTTAAAGAGGTGTATAGAGCAATTATCAAGCAGCGTAGGTACTTGGGTAGTGGGGAGGGATCCAGTAGTAATCAGGGTTCTTTAAGGAAAATGTGGAAGGTGACATGGACTTTGCCTATTCAGAATAAATTGAAAAATTTCATTTGGAGATGTTGACATGAGTTTGTGGCTACTAGGGTTCAGCTGAAGAGGAGAAAAATTGATTGTGATGTGTGTGAAGTTTGTGGGGGAGGGAGAGGAGAATATTGAGCATATATTTTTTATGTGCAGTAGGGCTGTTAAATGTTGGAAGCTATTAGGTATTTCTTGGGACTACTTTAATGGGGAAGGGGTGGGTTTGGAGGGTGGTGGATGGAAATTTGTAATGCTTCTAAAGCCACTTGCATGGTAGATAGGATTAACCTGTCCACTTATATGTTGTAGTGGCTTTGGAAAACCAGGAATTGTTGGATCTTTGAGAAAAAATGGGTTGATGAGGATAAAATAGCCCAAAGGGCTATGGATGAGTGGAATTTGGCTATTTCTATGAGAAAAGGAGAGGTAACTGGGCTTAGTGTTAGGGGGTTGGGTATGTGTGTGGGAGAGAGTAGTAAGTCTTGTGAGAAGGGGGCTGAGAGTAGTAGTATAGGGGAGTGTGGGGTTCCTATGTTTCTGGCTGTCAGCTGTTTCTTAAGCAATGGTAGATTAGGACTGGGTGGGAGAGCTTTTAGTGAGGAGAGGGATCTACATCTATGGGATACATCTAGGGATTTCTTAGGAAGTTCAGTGGAGGCCTATACTGCAGGAGCTCTATGGATTCTCAAATATGCTGCTAAACAAAACTGGGAAAATGTAACCTGTTACATGGACAACAAGGAAGCTACCTTATTGTTCTGTGAGAAACTGAAAGCAGGGGACATGGATACTGCAGCTGTTGGGGATTTCAAAGCTCTTCATTTAAGTATTGTAATTTCAGATTTGATAAGAATATTTGTAAAGTTTCAACTTCTTTAGCCATGATGGCCCTTCAAGGAAATTTGTAAGAGTTTTTCCTGCGTCTGCTAGGGGGTTTGTGTTTGTTCGGCAGATTATGGCCTATTTAGGTTTCGGTATTGTAAAACTATGCTTTTGTGAGATTTATATAATTTCTGGTTGACCTTGAAAAAAAAAAAAAACTCTTTAAAGATGATGAGATTAAATTGCCAAAAAATAATTACAAAAAAGTACAAAACCATTTTTATAATTTATAGGACTAAATTTTCGACTCTCTAATTACGTGGAACTAGTTTTCAATTTTCTCCACCACAAATAGAGGACAGATTTATTCCATCAATATTTGTAATTTGCAGTCCCATCAATCAGCAAATCTACAGAGGGTGCGGGGTGCCTATCAGCAGCTAATATAATCCACGTGGTGCAGTATACAAATAGTTTTAGATGGCGCGATGTGAGCCACTACTTCCTATTACACATTTACACTCCATAAACCCAATTCCCACAAGTTTTTTGCATTGCATTCCCTATAAAATTAAAGTTTTAAGGTTATTTGCTCTTCATATCAATTTCAATTTACCTGATCAGCTTCCTGCAAACTATCCTCTTCACCCAAGCTAGGTTTACAAAATCAGCGAAGCATACATCACTGGTATGTGGCCATCCATCGTTTCCTACTGTCATGCTCCTTAGTAGCTCGAGTTTTCATGATTATTATCATGCATTGCTGTATTTTACCTTGGTTATTGCTCAATGAGATGGAAATATGTCGACGAGAATTTTCTCTGGGAATGTTTGTAGAGTTTCGTATTCATGGGTTGTTACCCTTTCTAAACCAAAAATGAGATATAAAAATGGAAAATACTAACAATTTTGGGTTGCCAGCTGGTTTTCTCATGTCTGAGATTTTTCGGGAATGTAATTCCTAATTCAGAAGTTGTCGTTTGGAGGCTCCGAGTTGTACTGATTTTGCTGTGAATTAGGATACATTAATTTGATTTGTTTTTCGTTTGGTGGTCTCAGTATGCAGACGATGTTATGTTAGTACTCTCGTCTTTGCAAATCTCTTGTAACTGATTACAATCTTAAGCTTCTATTAACCTCAAATTATATATACCCTCTTTTTTTCTGTAATTCGTTAGCTTCATCATGCTGTGTAGGTTTATCTCATGGAGTGGAATCTTGTAACCATTGATGAAGATCTTGTTGTGCCCAATAACGGCATTTCCGAGAGTTTTTCATCCCACGATATTTGGTGTTCATGGGATAGATTAGTGGGAAGCTTCAACTCCCCAAAGAAATCCACCATGTTGCGGGTGGATGATTGTACTTTGACCGAACCCATGTTCTCTAGTGATGTTGAACAATATAGTTTCGTGAGTGTTTCTTGCCAGCAAAGTGCTTGTCCTCACGAGCATTCAGATATTCAACTCGATGATGATCTTGTCATTCTTGATGACACGGACGACAATTCATTACCGTACCTTCCGGCCCTTAAGAATACATTGTTCCATGCATGTGCATCCATGTAGTTTTAGATTATTTCAAAAATTCCCATGATTGTGAGGTAACAAGTTATTCTTCTTTCGTTCTTGTGGCACTCGTGTGTTAGCACACTCTGGCAAATAATTAGATAAAGTGAATTAGTTGGCAATGGATATTTAATCAGATTTTCAGTCTTACAACTGGAAGTGTGAACAGAAGAACCATGAGAACGTGTTTTTAGGAAAGTAAATTCTCGATTTCATTGCATACCAACATCGTAGTTATCTGTTTAATCATATTATGTTTTTTGTCCTCTTGCGATTGGTGCAATAATTATTTGACAGAGTTGAGTTCCTCTGTAATGTATTTTTGCAGCCGCTTAATGTTCGAAGAGGATTGCTCTATTCAGGATTGTAGCAGTGGTTTTGAGAATGCCAGCCAACCTCCACCAGCAAAGGTGAGATTAATTGTGGTTGATGGTCAATGAGCAGCTAGGCTGATAGTTCTTATTTGTCGTTATTAGAAGTTTGATGAATGGGTAAAGTTCGCTTAATTTTCTTAAAATGACCAATTGATTTGAAGATTGGGGGCTTATGAATCAGCCTATTCATTACCTGTTCCAGGGCCCATCTGTTAATATTAATCACTTTTTTTAAGGAACTGAAATTTGAGATCTGCATCTCAGAAGAACACTTTAATCTGCCTGAAGATATGAGTGAGGAGGACATGTCTGTGTTGCTGGATTTACAGAGCTTGACTGTCCAGGTACTTTAAACAACTGAGCACCTTTGAATGAGGTATTACTGTTTTTTGAACTGCTTAAAGGTGCTTACCAGTTTTGATCCCTTATTAATTATCCGGAATCTGTAGTTGGCAAAGAAGACAAGAATCTGCTTTCGCGATTCTTTCTATCGCCTCGCGGAAAATTCTAGGCATGATTCTGATCGGACTCAAAACAGTAAAGAAGCCACAGAAAAGTGTGGACCAGCAGCAGTTGATAATGGATCATTGAGGTAATTTGTTATTTTTTGTTTTTAGTTATCACCTGTTCTTTTCACATATTTTGCGTAGGCAATTACAAGGTGGCTTTTGTGGATGTGTATGGTGGTTTTGATTTCTGTTGTATTTAACTCATCTTAGTCTGCATTTTTCTCTCTTTTTGTGTAAAAAAAGAAACGATTTTTTGTTTATCCGGCAGTGTTTAACCAGTGTGCTAGCTCTAGCTCACAACCTTGGATGTCTATAATTTATGAATTTTACCTGAAGTTTAGATAAACAATTAATAAACACTGCATTTTGTATGATTAGGGTGAGCACGGGACATGGAGAAAATCGAACATTCCAAAAATCAAACTGAAACAAAGAATAACCGTTGCTTGTCTTTTTTCCAAACTGAAGAATAAACAGTACGGTTCTAAAGATTTTACAAATATCCGCACCTAGGACCAAATCAAACCTTCTCATACCATATCAAAGTAAATATAGAAGTTAAGAATCGAATGATAGCTTTATATGTGTCTTGTCCTATAAAACAAACGACCGAAATTAAAAACCGAACAACAACTTGTATTTGTCTGGTCCCTTAGTTTAATGTCCACTTTAGCCCTAAATTATTTGAATATTTTCATAAAACTTTATAACTCATAGTAATATCAATCAATTTTTCACAAGATTAATCTATAACAATGTTTTACTAAAATTAATATTTTTTTCACTTTCCAAAAGTTCAATTATATTTACAGTTTTTACTTTTATTCCATCTTTTAGCTAAAATGATATGAAAATTAGAGAAGTATTCAAAATAACATTGCATTCTATTTTTTTAAGGTTGATTACAAAGCACAATATTTTGGTAGATTAAAGTTATTTAAAGTTGGAAGTTTAAAAAGCATATTGAAAGTTACAGATGACTATATATTCATTTGAGAAAAATGATTGAAATGTACAATATAAAATCTTTGTATCTCCCATCCAAATGGATCTGAACGGTTTTGATAGTTCCAAATCTCAAAACCAGACCGAATTGAAATTTAAAAATTTCATAACCAAATTGTTCCAACTTTTGGTTCGATTCCTGAGATTTCTAAATCTCCAAGCCGAAACCGACCCACACTTGCCCCTAATTAGAAGCATTGGGAGCATCTTCGTGACTTAATGCCAGAATGATCTATCTGTATTTATGAAGTAATCAAAATATTTGGTTATGTGTATACATTCATTGCATGAGAAAACTATTATTATTATTGGTCCATTTTTCACCTTTGTTTTAAATGTACATTTGATTGAGAAAAGTTAGCTATCTTTACATACAGGTCACCAGAATCCAAAGCCAAAAATTCTAACACAAATGCTATCGACCGAACAGTTGCAACTCTCATGTTCAATACAGTTAAATGTTGCAATGTTGATGCAACCGAAATACCAGATCTTTTTGCTGCAAGTAAACATCATGCCAATTTCAATGTTTATCAGCCAAATTCATCAATTTGGAACTTTCCAGGTGGTGATGGGAAAGTGCCTTCACCTGTTTGGTCTTAATGAGATAAATTCTGGCACCTGAAAGGCCTCTACTAAATCTAAAATGTGGAGAATTTTTCTGTAATTTAGACATAGTTGAGTGTTATAGCGACTATGCCTTTTGCAGATGGTTAGAAAGAGATAAATATGCCGTTCGTCCTTCAGTATTTATTGATAGCAATGTGTGGTAAGCTTTGTATGAGATT